AGACTTGGTTGTCTTTTAACTTGCCTGTTTCCTGGGTGCTGGGATTACAGGTATGTGCTGTCACACTCAGTCTAAGCTTAAGAGTCTTGAAAAGTAATGTTTTGGCAAGAGTTGGTGATGTAAGCCAATAGTCCCAGCACTTGGAGGCAGAGAGGCAGGAGGATAGCTGCTTTGAGTCTAACTTATGCCACAAATTGAATTCCAGGCCATCCTGAGATAAATACTAATAAATCTGTCTCAAAAACAGATAATTCACAGCTGTAGATAAGACACTAAAGGATTTCACAGGTATTGTGTTAACATGGTATAATCTGTTTAAAACAGTAAAAGGTTGACCTGAAACTAGAGTGGGACCAAATTTCATCCTAGCCTTCTTTGAAGTGCTGCTTTTGAAACTGAAAGCTAAAAGTTAACCAGGAAAGAGTCTTACATCACAGATACCTGAGGATAGCTCTTAAGCTGACATCCTTTTGGGTCCCCTTACAAATTTGACTCACTCTTTTTGTTTTTCGAGACAGGGTTTCTCTGTAGCTTTGGAGCCTATCCTGGGTGACATCCTTTTGGGTCCCCTTACAAATTTGACTCTTTTTGTTTTTCGAGACAGGGTTTCTCTGTGTAGCTTTGGAGCCTATCCTGGCACTCTCTCTGGAGACCAGGTTGGCCTGGAACTCACAGAGATCCGCCTGCCTCTGCCTCCCAAGTGCTGGGATTAAAGGCGTGTACCATCAATACCCAGCTCAGTTACTCTTAAGTAGTAGCACCTTCAATGCAGTTTCAGGAAAGAAGGCTGGAAAATTTTGATGTAGTTAGGCAGTATTTAAGCATTGGGCTAGCCAGAGAGCAGGGAGTGTGTTCATAGAGAAAACTGAAGTATCAGGATGGCAGCCTGCAGAAGCGTTTAGGACAGGGAAGGTTCTGAATTAAAGGACTGGTGTGGTAGGAAGGAGCTTCCTAAGTCATGAGAAAGAAATTAGGTTTTAGTGTTAACATTGTTTCTAATATAGTAGGGTGAGCTTGATCTTTACATTTGTGCTTTCAAAGAACACTGGAGAAATAGAAACCCCATTGGGAAAGGGTCAGCACACTTGGAAAAGATCAGCCATGTAGGCTGTACAAAGCCATGGATGCTGTGGGGCAGGCAGGGTTCCATGGAAATGGAGACAAGGAGGTGGGGTTGTGAACATACAGAAAGAGGAATCAGAAGAGCTTGGTAATTAACTCAGCCAACCATTTTTTAGAAGTTTGATTTCAACATCTTTGGGGATTATGATCCCACTTGGGCCCATTGGAGAACATAGGTTAAGGGAGGATAGTGAATTTCATTTCGGATACAATAAATTATGATACTTGATAATCAAAAGATGAGGACTTCATGGAAGTGGTGGGGGCTATAGGCTAGAGACAAAACTGGGAAGTTGTTGGTGTACAGACATAGGTTAGGAAGCATAGAAGCAGTAGAGCTCTTGTGAGAGCTTCTGGCCCCATCTTAAATTTAAATGTCTTAGTGCAGGCTGACACAATTGCCAGTGAACTTGGTGGGGGGGGTACAAGTATGCTATACAAACAGAAACATGAAAGTAGAATGGTGTTCAAGGGGGTGGGGTGCAGGCAGTATTCAGTGGATTCAGGAACAGGGACTCCATCCCTCATCTTCTATTTTGGTTTCCAGACCACTGCTGTCTTTGAATTCAGGTCCTTTTTACCCAGCTTAGGCTGTTACAAAGTCTAAAGATAGCATTTTGGCCTAATTGTGCTTTCCATGATGACGAAATTCCTTGACCAGTACAGTAGCAGTTAGTCTCACACAGCCCTGGACACAGGGAATGCCCTGACATGTGTCATGACCTTCAGTTTTATCCCATGCCTGATACTGTTTTAAACTTAAATAGGTCTGTATTGTGAGTAGACTGGGCAGTGCAGATTCACACAGTGCTTCTTAGTTGATACAGTGTGAGAGCTAACGAGGGGTTCTGTAGATGGTGATAGAAATGGCTTCTTAGTAACATACTTATTTCCGTTTTGAAGCCCTTCCTCATTTGGGTTTTGTATAGAAGATCTAAAAAACTGTATACCTCCTTACATTTCAATGCCTATACAATGTCCTGTTTAACCCTAAATACAGGCTGTGTTTAGTTTTTAATATCATTTTCAAGAAATACTAATGGAATCCTTTCTTGAAATAGCTACTTTGTCAAAATTTTGAATTTTAGTGCTACATATCTGATAATTTTTCTCTTGGCAACTCTCTTTAAATGAAGATGTAGATTTTTGGAGACGTGTATTTCTAAAAAAAAAAATTGACATTGAATTGACCTTAGTTTTTTGTGTATGTATACAATGTAATGCATATATTTATGCATCTTATGATATTCATGGAACTGTGTGATAGGTACTTTTGTCTACATTTTTATAGATAAGAAACCTAGGTAATTAGAGGGAAGGGAAAAAGTCCTTGCTGAGTGATGTGTGGTATAAATGGTAGTGTGGGATTTGAACCTAAGTAGTTTGGGCTGAACATACTGCCCTTCAAGTTAGCCCACTAACTGCTACTGTTCAACTTTCAGTTTTATATAGATCCATTTAAGCTGCTACCACTGCAGAGGTTTCTGCCTCGTCCTCCTGGTGAGAAAGGACCTCCCAGAGGCGGTGGTGGCGGTGGAAGGGGAGGTCGAGGAGGAGGAAGAGGAGGTGGTGGCCGAGGTGGTGGAAGAGGTGGTAAGTTATTTTGGGTTTCTAATAAGGTTTTGTAGCCATGCGTGATTTATACAGTGCAGTTTAGTTTTGCATGTAACCAGACTTCCCTTACCCTTATTTCTTTTACATATTGTCCATCCATAGAAGTGCGTTGTTTCCACAGCTTAAGTAGGAGAAAAAATTAACTTTACCTTTGCAAGATTTCAGAGCCTTGGGTTATTTGTGTTTTAATGGAGATATTAATAGAGGCAGTCACCCATTGCTAAATGGCAGATACATTCTGAGAAATGCAGTGTTGGACATTTTTGTCGTGTACATTGACATAGATCCTCTTGTAGAGCTTGATTACTCAGCATGGCTTCTTAGTGTGGTGGAGAGTGGTAAGATGGAGGCTGATGCTGGTGAGATGGGGCAGGCTGCTTTCTGATCAGCCTTGTGAAAGGGTTGTACTGACTGTAGAAAGGGAAGTAAAAACACAAACTGGAAACAGTTGTTTTTAACTATTGTCAGGCATTGGGTGCTGTACACAACTATATATGCTGTACTCTTAGATGCCTAGGCTTATGTATTCCAATAGTGCTGTGAGCGTGCAAGTGATGGCTTGATCTACAATATGAGACAGTA